CTCTGAGGCATGTTCTAAACCATCTCCTAGGAGTCCCCAGTGAAACCGAGCAGCACCTGTTCTCACCAGGAACCTGCTCTGCGTTGCATCCTGTATGGGCTTTCTCTCTTTCCCAGCTCATCTCACTTCCTCCACTCCCTTGCCAGTGATTTCTGGATAATCTCTCAAATAAACCATATCAATTCAAGTCCCAGTCTCAGGGTTTGCTTCTGGGAGAGTCCAACCTAGGACAAGAGAATAGGGGTAAATGTACAAAGAGCATTCCAAGCTGGAGAAAAGCTTCTGCAAAAGTCCTGCAGTCGGAAGGAGCATGGTGAGTTCAAGGGACTGATAGATGGCTACTGTTGCTAAAGTAAAAAATAACGAGAAAAAAGTGTGTGGTGGAGAGTGTTTCTGGAGAAGTAAGAGGGGTGGGAGAGTAGAGGGAAGACGAGAATCAGATCCTGCAGGCAGTGTAAACGAGTTTTGTCGATCCTCAGAAAGGTAAAGAGCCCTTTTTATGATGGAGGGTTTCATGACGGAAGTTGATGAGACCCAGTTTGTGTTTTGAGATTGTGGCTCCTTTATCAATGTGAAGAAAGGAGTGGAGGGGATTAGCTTTGGAGAGGTTAATAGTGGATTGCTGGGGTCCAGGATCAGGTGATAGGAACTTAGGCTGGAGTTATTGACAGAGGTGGGGCTAAGTGGTGGATTTGAAGGCTATTTAAGAGGGAAAATCGACATGGCTTGGAGATGGATTAAATCTGAGAGGTAAGAGAGAAGGAAGTATCAAAGATAATGCCTAGATTCTGGTTTTTATGTTTGGAAAGTTAATATATTCCTCACATAGAAAACATGTTACAAATATATCATTCAAGACTGTGTCTTAAACGTAGGGAGAGATAAAGGAGGTGAAATTTTTTATTCTCTGGGACTAAACCTTTGTAAGCAGGTAAACCTATTATTTGCCTTTTACACATTAAACTTCTGTGCAAGATGGGGACAGTCAGGATAGGAAAACATAAGAAAAAAAAATCTAACAGCAGCTAAAAACTACACATCGTCTTATTTTAATACTGAACGGTGGGGCCGGCCCCGTGGCCGAGTGGTTAAGTTCGCATGCTCTGCTTCGGCAACCCAGCGTTTCACCAGTTCAAATCCTGGGCACGGACATGGCACGGCTCATCAAGCCATGTGGAGGCGGCATCCCACATGCCACAACCAGAAGGACCCACAACTAAAAATACACAACTATGTACTGGGGAGCTTTGGGAGAAAAAGAGAAAAAAAAATCTAAATACTGAACTGTAGCACTCCCCACCCCCACCCCAAGCTTACATAACTGGGCAGGAGGTGGAGTGGGGGGGTCACACATGGACTCAAAATATGAGATGGAAGCAATGAGGCAGCCAAGGCTTGGGCTGATCAAATGTCTTTCTCCTTCAAGTCAGCCTGATGCCACCCAGCCCTGTTCAGATGCATATGCCTCTTAAACCTGTTGCAGATTATGATGAAACTGAAGGAAGAAGAAAGAGAAAGAAAGCTTGGTAAGGGCAACCTATGAAAGGAGAAAGAAGAAATTAGATAAACTCTCCTGCTTTACGCTTTCATCTTAGGCCCAAGCCAATGAGAAGCTGAAGGGAAGAATTGAAGAGATGTAAGGAGTGATGGCATTTTAGAGACAGCAAAGAACTTGGATATCAGCTAATCCAGGATTTCTAGCCTCAGCACTGTTGACATTTTGGACTGGATAATTCTTTGTTGGGGGAGAAGGTGGCGGGCTGTCCTGTGCAATGTAGGATGTTTAGCAGCACCCCTGGCCTCTACCCAGTAGAAATAGTGACAGGCCAGGTGTGACAACCAAAAATGTCTTCAGACATAGCCAATTGTCTACTGAAGGGTAAAACTGCCTCCATTAAGGACCACTGAACTAGTCTAACCTCTCCATTTTATAGATGAGTAAACTGAGGCCCATCATGGGAAGAACTTTGCCCAAGGCTGTGCAGAGTCAAGAAAATCTAGATGGTCCCAAGAAAGATCTGATCTTTCTATCAAAAAGGCCATATTTGTACAGACTTCCCTTTGTATAAACTTAACACTAATAATCAAGAGTAAAAGAACAATTATGCAATATTGGGAATATATCAAAAGGTACAGAGAGTCATCCTTGGGTGTGAGTGGATACTCGACAAATTGCCCAAAGAGCTTTCACATTGGGGAGCATGCCATGAACCACCGGCAGGAGTAGCACGGGGTGTGGAGACAAAATACGTGAGTTTTAAATTTATTTATTTCAAACTCAAAAAAAATTCTAGTTTAGAACACAAGTCAGGGAATATTATACAGTCTTTAAAAAGAAGGAAATTCTGACACACGCTACAACATGGAAGAAACTTGAGGACATTAAGCTAAGTGAAATAAGCCAGTCACAGAAGGACAAATACCACATAATTCCACTTATGTGAAGTATCTCAAGTAGTCAAACTCAGAGAAGCAGAAAGTAGCATGGTGATTGCCAGGAGCTGGGGGGAGACAGGGGAATGGACAGTTACTGTGCAATGAGTATAGAGTTTCAATCACGCAAGATGAAAAAATTATAGAGATCTGCTGTATAATAATAATTAACAATTCTGCACTGTGCACTTAAAAATGTGTTAATAGGGCAGATTTTATGTTACGTGTCTTTACCATAATAAATTTAAAAAAAGAATACAAGTCAAGGACAGTTACTATTCTATCTCCCTATTTCCTCAGAGCTGTCTATTAGGAAAAGTTTCCAGTGTTTGACTGATGATGACCCGGGAAAAGCTTGTCCCAAATCCCAGCCCTCATGTGTAAAGCTGAAGTCACCACAAAGTTGCAGAAAACAAAACAACTTTGAAATCCAGTGTTAGTTATCACCAAAGACACATTTTTTCAAGTACAAGCGCAAATCTCACTTCTTAAATAAAGCTGGTTTTTTGTAAACATCACAGAACGTTAACGCCTAGAGATCACATTGGCCAAATCCTTCTTCTTAGAGATAAGGGCCCAGAGACTCCAAGAAGTTGAGATTTTGCCCAAGGCCATCCAGCTAGTTAGTGATAAAGTCCTGCACAAAAACCCGGGTCTCCGGTCCCTGGTCCAAGACCTCCTGTCCTTTACCAAACTGCTCTCTACTGCGAGGGCCCTGAATCTCCCACCTCCACTAAGACGAATGATTGAATGAAAGATCGTCGCCCCAGAGAGGAAGGAAAGAAGACCTAAGATAAGGAAACTGTGGAGAGAAGTCAAAGGGGAGATGTGATGAAAAATAAATGAAAACTGCAACATTTTAAAAAAGAAAGAAAATTCAAAGGACTGGAGAAGAAAAATACCAGAGAATGAGAATCAGGCCCAAACAAAACATTCGCAAAGATAAGCTTCTAGTTATTCTTGGTGCCCCAAGGAGTGTTTGAACTGCTGCCAAAATTGCTTTTGACCTAAATGGAGAATAAAAATTGTTTCTTTTATCTATTGAGAGTAAAATCAAATTTCATGTTAGGAAACATTGGTCTGGATGAGGTGAGTTAAAGTTTTAGGGAATAGAGTATTGTTCACCATCCCTACATACTACGTTCACTCAAGAAATGTTTATCGCTAAAAAGAATACCTAGATTTTATTAATCTATGTTGGGGTAACACTGTACATGGGGTTCATTATTTTAGTCTTGCTTCTAAATAAAAGTCCTCCTCACCACTCATTCTCTTATACATTCATCTTTACTCCTGGTTTCCTTCAGCTTTGTGCTGTTACACACACCCCCCCCCACACACACACACACCCTGACCCTTAATTTCTTCTTCCTCTCAGTCATTCCCCTTCATACACCCCCCAGGCTGAAATAAAGTGTAGAAAACCCTTGTTTCCACTCCCATATCTATTTTCTTAGTCGATGTATGGCTTACTAATGGTATTTTGGGCTACCAGGAAGCACAAACCCAAATAAAAGTAGCTTTGAACAATAAATACACGTATTCTTCCCCATAACAAGAAGTCCTGAGATGGCACCACAAAGCACAGTGAATGTGTGCTGACTTGAATTGCCCTGTAGCACCTACTCTGCAGAGGACTACAAACATACGTAAACTGTGGTCCCAGGGACTCACTGTCCAGTAGAGGGACACATGTTCACAACTCAAAAACAAGTGTGACACACACCTACTGATTGGTCTGGACTTCACCTCCTCCTGCAGGTGCTAAGAGGGAGGAGAGCTCTGTGACAGGAATGGACAAGGATTCCTCACAGGGGACATGAACGTGGAGGTTTTCAAGCATGTGAAGGATGCCAATAAGCAGAGATGTTGACATGAAGGAGCATTCAAGGTGGAGGAAACTCTTGGAAGTAGCAGAGAAAGTGGATTTTCTGAACCATGTGAGTAAACTGGTTGGATTGTAGTCGAGTTTGTTCCCTCCAGGCCTAGAGAGAGGTGAGAGGTGGTAATGTCCACCTCCAACCATGAAGACCTGGGTCAAAACAAGTGAGAATCCCTCAATAGGGTGGTCTTCGGAAGGCCTTCCCCTCAAGTGGCCTAAGGAGGCTCTGTTGAGTGAAGACACAGAATAACTCTAAGAGGAAGCTGAAATTCTTACTGAGCAGACTCCGGCTCCGTCAAATCTAAATTGCTAGGTTAAAAAGAAAATGGGAGAACAAGAAGTGAAGACACTGACTAGAAGAGTCTAGAATTGGACAGAATGAGTTGTGGGTGTCTGTCCAGTGAATAATTCAAGGCCACTGAGGTCCTCCTTTACTGGAACATCAGCGGCCCTGTGGAAGCAGTAAGGACTACTTTGGGAGCTTACAAATGGCAGGCATGAGGAGCAAGTCCTGGGAAGTGAGGAGGGAGAGACTCAAGCTTTTCTGTAGTGTTAACTCATGCCTCCTTTTCCCGAAGAGTCAGCTGAGGGACAGAGCTGTTGCTGGCCCCTGAGGCCTGGTTTAATAAAGAACAGCTATTGTATCAATTTGCATTCAAGTAATGGAAGACCCAAGTAATTGTGCATTTTTAGGTTTATTATTTAGAGATTTATTATTACAGAATACCTTTATATTTTACGTAACAATAAATCCAGATGTGGGATGTTCCAAAGCTGGTTGAGTTGGTCGGCTCTTAGTCAGCTTCTTTGTGATTCTTTTGGATTTCTCCCTCAGGATTACAAAATGGCCACAACCGCTTCAGTTACCAGGTTCCCATGCTATGTCCTCCAAAACAAGAAAGAAGATGGAAGAGCTGCTTTGTGTCCATCTCCCTGTTTTAAAGGAGAAAAATCTTTACCAGAAGCATCTCTGCACCCTCCCCAGCAGACTTCCACGGGCTTCATCCCCTTGGCCAGCTCTGGCTCACACCTATGCTCTAGGTCCAAAGGAGCTGGGAAAGTGCGTACCTGGGACTTGCAACATTTCTAACTGATGTTGGGCTCTGCCAGACAGAAAGGAGAGTCAGGAGTGAACGTGGACAGGCAGGCAACAGAGTCCATAGAGCCATGGCAGAGGAGGGTAGGAGATGATGTCTGAAGACAAGCTCAGGTTGAATTATGAAGGGCTTGTAGTGCCTTCTTAAGGAGTTTGCAGTTTATCTTATAACCATGAGAAACCAGCATAACTCTCTGTGGTGAAGAGGAAGGCGCTGACCAGTGCTGAGTTTTAGAGAAAGAAGTGGAGGCAAGGGTGGGAGAAGGTTTGAAAGGGACTGTGCAGATCAGGATGGGGCATATATTGGGACACTCTGGGGACTCCTGAAGGAATCAGTAGGCTATCCCTCAACCTGGGAACATTTAACTAGATCGTTCAGGAATAACCAATGTGTGTATAATGTACTTGGCAAAGAATTGAGAAACCAGACTGTAAGCCCAGCTTTTCCAATAATTGGCTGCTGCACCTGAGAAAAGTCACTACTTCAGTTTCCTCATCTCTGAAATGAGGTCACTAGACTAAATGCTCCCTCTTTCCGTCCCTCCTCCAGCAGTCCAAGAATGGCTCTTTGTAAAGACATTTGCTTAGATGGATGCTGTCCACGCACCTCACAAGGAAGGAAGCAGGGCTGATCTGGGCTGAGGCATTCCCCGCACTGCCACCTGCTGAGTGATACCACATTATTTTCTCCCAAACATCTGCACCATCATTAGTAATGTCTATACTTCTAAGTACAATGGGGTTTATTATCATTAATGATAATTATCGTTATTGAAGAACCAGAGAACTTTCATCTCATGGTGATATTTTGTTTCATGCCTCACATCAAATCTCCTCTTCCCAACGCATCTCTGTTTTTCTTTAGAATGTAAAAGAAAGGGAACAATTGAGGGTAAGGCTATTTGGGTACTTAGTTTGATTCTGCATGACGTTGAGTAAGTCATCTTTGGGTAAGAACTTCAGAGTGGACAAAAGAATGGATTGAGTTATGTCAGTAGTTCTTAACCATGAGGGAGCCTTATGGAGATTCTGTCTACCCAGGAGATTCTGATGGGCCCCCTATATTCTCTTTATTAATTTGGTCAACAGATATTTATTCAAGACCTACTGTGAGCCAAAACTAAAAGCCTTAAAGTATGTAGAGATAAAAGATTTTATTTCTACCATTAAGGAGTTCAGCAAATGCAGGGAAAGATAAACACAAAAACAGACATAGACTAAATAGGATTAGCCTTCAAAGATAGAAGGCCTGATGTTATAGGAGCACACGTGAGGGGCTCCAGCTCAGCCTAAGGTGGCAGGAAGCCTTCCCAGAGGAGGTAGCCTTGAATCAAGCTTTGAAGGACAATCTAAAGTTCAAGGAGGTGGGAAGAGGGATGCTACAGGGGAAGTTCTAGAGTTCAGAACAGTAGTTCTTACAAGTAAGGTGCAGAAACCCAGGGAGGGGGGAATAAAAATAACAGACATTCCCCACTTCTAACACTCTTAGCATCCATATCTGCAGACACTCTCCCACACCCATCTCCCTCTTGACCTGCAATGTCAACCCTCGGGAATCACAAACAAGACTGGTTTCTGATCTGGAGGTGAGAAGTTGGGGGAGGATAAGATGCTACTGAAAGAACCAGATGGATCGAGAGGGGGATGGTACTGTGAGATTTTGCTGAAAAGCTATGAGGACCCCTCTGCAGAATCAGCAACTGAAAGGGAAGGAGAAGAACTGGGCTTTGCAGCCAGGACCTGTCTTCCTCACCAGCATCCCTCACCACACGCCCCTCAGGCTGCACTTGACCTCTACACAAAATCTCGTCGCAGCCTCTTCTCTCTCAAGGCTGGCCCTGGAAGCACAGCCTCAGCAGATCTTTTGGCAGGCACGCTGATTGTGGGGATGGGGGTCAACCCCCAGTTTGCCCTCATCCCTTGAGGATAGCATTTCTTGAGAGCCCCTGAGAAGGCAGATCTGTTTAAGTCACACTAAGTGACGCTCTTTTCTGAGGAGCAAACTGATTCAACAATCCACATTTCTTCCTTACTCATAGGTCTGTCCTCTGCAGTCACCTCACTCTGTGAACTAGTTTCATTGGCTTCATTGTTGAACACAGCTTCAAATCCTGCTGCTCTGTCCTTAGTGCTCTCTCTGACCAGCCCCTCTGAGCACTCAGGCCCCTCGAATTGACGGCTCACCTGCCCTGTCACAAGCAGCCTAGTGCGAAGATTAGAAGATTTAGCATTTAGACTAGGATAGACTTCTTGTAGTTGATTTACCTAGTCTCCTTGTGTCTCCAAATAAAAGTATAGAGGAATCATTTTTCATGTGAGCCAAACATTAACCTCTTCCAGAGCCTCAAAACACTCATTAGGCACCACTGTTTTTCAAGTAGCCAGTGTGAAGATGTCCAAGACCAGAGCAAATACAGAGAAATGGAAATGCTTGCCTGGGGCCTCTGAAGTTTCTAGCACTCAGTGTTTAGGGAAATCCACAATGAAGAGGCTACTAAGCCTGCTGTGGTCTGTGTCCACAGACCTCAGCTCACAAGCCACAGAGGGCTGGGGTAGTACACTTTGTCGTCTACTGTCTGGCTTCCTTGGAAGAAAGATTTTGCTCCAGGAAGAATATTTGTGCAACTTGCATAAAATAGACCAGTGGTTCTCAACCAGAGGGGATGTTGCTCCCACTCCAGGGGATATTTGGACGTGTCTGAAGACATTTTTGGTTGTCACAACTGGAGGCGGGGGGCGTCCTACTGGTATGGATCAGAGGTGCTGCTAAAGATTCCTACAATACACAGGCAGCCCCTCCACAACAAACAATTATCTGACCCAAAATATCACTAAGGCCAAGACTAAGAAAACCTGGGGTAGACTATGCAAGGAAAAGATGTGTGCTCTTTCCCTCTGTGGCTGGAAGCTCGTGCCCCTGCTTGTTTACTTCATGCTAACAACTGCTTGCCTCTCCTCACAAATCCAGAGGCGACTAGTCCAACCCCGTCATGTACAGATGATTGGAAAGCTTGAGGCTCAGAAAGTGAAGTGATTTTTCTGAAGTCACACAAGTTAGCAGAGTAGAACCTAGGTACTGAGCCCCACTCTATATCCTTCCGCTACACAGAATTCTTCCAGACCAACCCTATTTTCAGTCAAATTGTTGGTGCCACAAGTTACAAAATAAAGCTTCTATTGGAAAAGATTTTTTTCCTTTTTCCAAAAACTTTGGAACATTCAAATTTGTGTGTGTGTTTGTGTGTGTGTGTGTGTGTGTCTGAGAAGGGCAGTTGGGAAGGAAGGGTGTGAACCAAGCTGTTTGGAACGAGAGTGTGAAGGAGCAGCTACCCAAGACATCAGCGCCAGGATCAGATGGACAATTAAGAGACAGTAACACTAAGAGAACATGGAACAGAAATACAGATGGAAGTTAGTTCAACTTTAAGAGACTGTTTACTCCACTACCCTTCCTCTAGGCAAGACCACAGAGCACAGCTCAGATGAGGGGACAGACTGTGTGAAGGGATGGTTTGACAGAGCCAGGGTTAAGGCCCAAGAATGTCTGTGTGCAGTTGGCCCCATAGCCTGTTGGCCTTCCTTATGTTCAGCACAGAGTGAATCTCCTGTCTACTGCAAGGTTCAGGAGCCCTTAAACAATGGTCTAGTGACAGCCCCTGATTTTCTAGACCCTTAGAACTCCTTGAGGAATCTTTTGAGACCACACAGGATAAGGGATCCACCTATGCATGAATCTAACGGCCTGAGTCATCTAATAGAAGCCAGACTGCAAGGAGGATAAAGAGGCTCCTGAGAGAAAAATCCCCCTGAGTGATGGAGGAGTCTGGAATGGTGAGTTAGGCCGGACTAGGCAGCAAGGCTGGAGTGTCAAATGGGAGTGATGGGTTCTCTACAATATGAGGCCATTTATCATCCTTCTCCACCTCCTCAGGACTTTCCTCCTCCCCACCCCTCTGCCCCAGTGAGTATGTGCCTTAGGAGGAGAAAATCTCAATAGTAAAACTTCAAGACCTAGTCACTCTGGACTCTGTCTCCTATACAGTGGTTCCCTCCTCCTACTCATCCTCCCAAAAATAAACCTGGCCAACTTGAAGAAGACATTTTTTTTTTTGCACTGAGGAAGATTAGCCCTGAGCTAACATCTATGCCAATCTTCCTCCACTTTATATGTGGGTCACCACCACATCACCATCATCACCATCATCACACATCATGGTGTGATGGTCATCACCATCACACCATGGCTGATGAGTGGTGTAGGTCCATGCCTGGGATCCAAACCCACAAACCTGGGTCACCAAAGTGGAGCATGAGGAACTTAACCACTACGCCATGGGACTGGCCCCAAGATGACACTTTTTAATCAGATTGAAAGAGAGAGAAAGGTTCACATGAGCTAAAGAGAGATGGTGACAAGCCCCAGAAAGCAACAAAGAGCAAAACTCAGAGGTCAAGATCCGGTTAGCACCACCACTAGGGCAATTAACAACGTGCACTTTAGAGTAAAAGGGAGATGGAGTTCCAGCTCCTCCACTCTACCTGTCTGCCCTTGGGAAGTTTATTCAACCTCTCTGAGCTTCAGTTTACTCGTTTATAAAATAGGGTTCCTGTAAAGACTTAATGAGATAATTCCTGTTAAAGCACTTAGCACAGTTGCTCTAGACTAAATATTTGCGTCTCCTCAAAATGTACATGTCAAACCCTAATGCCTAATGTGATGATCTTTGGAGGTGGGACTTTGGAGAGATGATTAGATGATGAAGGTAGAGGCTTCATGAATGAGACTGTGCCCTTGTAAAAGAGACCCAAAGAGCCTTCTTGCCTTTCTGTCATGTGAGGACACAGTGAGAAGATGGTCATCTGGGAACCAGGAAATGGGCCCTTCCCAGACACTGAATCTCCCGGTGACTTAATCTTGGGTTTTCCAGACTCCAGAACTGCAAGAAATAAATTTGTGTTGTTTATAAGATCCCCAGTCTATGGTATTCTGTTACAGCAGCCTGAACTGACTAATGTAATGTGTTGGGTACATAGTATACTCTCAAACAGGGGATCAATGTCATCATGATGGGTAGATTAACAGCATTGGTGGCATTGAGATTAGGTGCCAGAGACAGGCTAGAAGAGTATGGAACTCCAGATGGGCCTGGATGACAACAGACACCCGAGAAAGTCAGAAGTGAAGGCTAGGTCAGTGCAGCAGAGGCTGGTGGCCAGAAAGGGGGAGAAGGGCCAGCAGGACCTGTTTAGGGAGAGCTCCCACAGAGCCACAAGAAGAGAAAACTCTTGGCCAATGGATTCAATAAACATCATTAAGGGAAAAGAAAGATGAGGTCCTGCCTACTGGCAGGGAAATGCTGATGCAGCAGACCTATGGACAGGCCGGACCTTTCTTAGGATTCCCAAGGCCCAGAGGACATTAAGAACCTTAACTTTTAAAAGTTGGATACAAATGTCTCTTGAATATATGAAAAGATGTTCAGCCACACTAAAAAAGAAGAATGCAAGAAGCTATGATTTGTCTATCAGAAGGACAGAAAATAAGAAGTTTAAGAACACAAGAACGATCCTGTACATTGTACGTGGGAGGTTAAATTGGGCATATTCTCTGTGGAGGGTGGTTTGCAATAACTATCAAAACCATACCTGCGTGAGCCCTTGGGCCCAATAATTCTGCTTCTAGGAATGTATTCTCCAGTTGTACTCGTCACATATGTGCAAATGATCTATGCACAATGTTGTTCCCTGCAGCATAGTTTCTCATAGAAAATTAATGCAAAAAACCTACATGCTGAGTAAATAAGTTACAGCCATCAGAATGGAATACTATGCAGCCACTAAAAAGAGCAAAAGGCACTCTATGCACTATAAGATAGAGCCATCTCCAAGGAAACAAGAGAACTTGCACCTACTAGGATACCAATGTGAAAAAGAGAAGAAAAATAAGGGAATACACACAAACACACACACACTAACTAATATTGAACTCTGTCTACACCATAGCAGTTAGGTCAGGAAGAACTATGACTGATCCGCCCTTTAGTGCTTCCATTTTCTTCTGAGGCTTCAGATGTTTATCAATCTGAGCTCTGATTTTCTCAACTGAGAAATGGGACTAATAATACCTACTTTAGAAGGTTGTCTTGAAGTTTAAATTTAAAAGTGCACATGTGTTTTTATATTATACAGTATTATAATAAATTCTTATTACAGGAGATTGATAACAGATGGTCAGTGTCTATTGCATCATAGCCGTTTAAAACAGTATCTGCAATTTTTTTAAAAAACATTTTATTGAGCTATGATTGACAGGTTAAAAAGCTGTATGTATTTAATGTACACTACCTGACGAGTTTGGGGACAAGTATACACCCATGACACCATCACTACCATCAAGGCTATAGACTCATCAATCACCTCCCACCCTCTTTATTCTTTTTTGTGTATGTTAAGAAGACTTAACATAAGATCTACCCTCTTAGAAAATTTTAAATACACAAACAATGTTGTTAGCTATAGGTGTCATGCTATATGGCAGATCTCCAGAACTTACTTATCTTGCATAACTGAAACTTTGTGCCCTTTGACCATCACTTTTGCATTTCCCCCTCCCTGGCATCCGACATTCTAACCTATGAGTTCTTCTGTGAGTTTGACGATCTTAAATTCCACACGTAAGTGAGATCATGTGGTATTTCTCTTTCTGTGTTTGGCTTATCTCACTTAGTATAATGTCCTCCGGGTCCATCCACGCCATCACAAATGACAGGACTTCCTTCCTTTTTAAGGCTCTGTATAACTCAACTAACAAGCCATTCTAATGGTTTTCCTCTTTTTTAATCAAATAAATTTGTCTTTCTGCTTCCCTCAACACCCTCTCCTGCTTCACTGCATTGCTATACATCCAGATCAAGCTTTCAGTTTGCAGAGACTCTAGAATGATGTGGTTAGTATGGTATGTGGGAGAGAAAAATACTGGTAAAATATGGGAGAAACCCACATCGGAGCAGGCAGTAATCAAGATTCAATAAAAACATGATTTAGGAAAACATCTATGCAATGCCACCAACTCAGGTGTTGGCAGGATGGAAGAGGAGGCGGTATAGACAGTGTTCTGTTTGTGATCACAGACACACTGTCTAGCCTGGCTGAGGACCAAAGTAACAAGAAACGATAAGACGATGAGGCTGATTTTCAGTGATTAGTCCTCAAATGGGAGTCAATCTTTCAGGAAACACCTGGCCAATCAATTCAATAAACAGTCCTTTAAGGGTCTTGAATATCAATAGCATCAGGATACCTGGGAACAGCACCTGTCTTCAGCCTTCTCATCGACAACATTGGTGGGAAATGAGGGTCCCTTAAAAAAAAAATTAAAACAGGGAAAGAGAAGAGACATCATGAACTGCCATTTGTCTCCAGTCTACTGCTTTTCTCTTGCCACCTCTTTCCCCAAAGAACTTGTCCACCACCAATATTTTGCCTGTCACTTCCAGCCTGTTGACTCCTATATGGCTGGTCCTGTCTTCTTTCCTAAGCTCATAACTCTCTGCTCAGGAGATATTTCTGCATGAATTGCAATGTTACCTTAAAATGAATGTCTTCTTTAAAAACATGTTATCTTCTTCCAAAAGTTTTCTCTCTAGGCTTCTCACGCCCATCAATTTTCAATGTTTTCCTCTCCATCTTCTCCCAAACAATTGAGCTCCTAACATTTGAGTCTGAACAATCAAAACAGCCTTCCACACGATTCCCCTGCCTCCAGGGGAGGAAAGACTTTCCCTCTACCCTCCTAGGGTCAGTAACTAGGTCTCTGATATGAACTGACAACAAGCAGATTAACAGGAGAAGAGGTATACAAATTTATTAATTTTTAATATTACACACATGGGGCATAAGGGAAAAAAAGTGAATATCCAAAATAGCAATGAGATTCAGGAGCTTATATACCACTTTAATAGCAAAAGAAGAGGGAAGATGTAGATAATTTAGGGGAGAGTAAATGGTTTTTAGGAAAAATGAATGGGCCTTAGAAGAACAGGTGGGAGATATGATAGTTTGAGACAAAGTTTTTCTGGGTGTCTTGTTTCCCCTCCTGTGTTAAGAGTCAATCCTCCCTCGTTGATGAAACCCTCAGGAGGGGATTCATGACAATTGAGTTCCTTTTGGAGGATCTGTCTTTAGGCAGATAAGGGGAGTTCAGAGAAAGCCTCTCCCTGCATTTGCTGTCTTTCGAGTGACTTCAGCTCAAAATAATCAATATACCAAAGTGGCCTATTTTGAGGTGGCACATCCTGAACTCCTTCAGTTTCATGCACACAGCAACCAGAGTCATCCTTCGGAACAGACCTGCATCATCACTTTCTACTCAAACAACATCACTGGCTTCCTAATGGCCTGTATGATAAAATTCAAAATACTTTTCGAGGCATTAAAGGTTTACTATCAGGGGCACATAACCTCCTCCTCCTTAGTTTCTTTTCAGCAGGATTCCTCAATCTCAGCACTATTGACCTTTGGATCTAATGATTTTTCTTTTTTTTCAGGGAAAGATTCACCCTGAGCTAACATCTGTTGCCAATCTTCCTCTTTTTTTCCCTCCCCAAAGCCACAGTGCATGGTTGTATATCCTAGTTGTAAGTCCTTCTAGGTCTTCTATGTGAGCCGCCACCACAGCGTGGCTACTGACAGACAGGAGTTATGGTTCTGAGATCAGGCCGCTGAAGCAGTGGGCACTGAATTTCCACCACTAGGCCATCAGGGTTGGCTTTTTTCTTTCCTGGTGATTTTGTTGTTGTTGGGGACTGTCCTGTGCATGGCGGAACTTTTAGCAACACCCCTGGCCTCTACCCACTACACACCACTAGCACTCCCCACCCAAATTACAACTACCGAAAGCGTCTCCCAACATTGCTAAATATCCCCTGAGGGACATTGCTAAAAATCACCCCAACTGAGAGCCACTACTCTACAGGAATTTCACACATCCGAAATTCAGGTCAACTCATTGTTCTCCCACTAAAAAACAGAAAAAAGGCATTTATTTATTCATTCATTCATTTATTCATTCATGCATTTATGTGTGTAGTTGTATGTTTGTGCCTCTTTGTTTTGCCATATTGCTCTCCCTTCTAGAATATTGCAAAGGGCTTTAAGCCCTTGGGGAAGTGGGGTTCTTAAGTATCAGCAGGATAAAGATCAGACGGATCTCTTGCCTCTGCACACAAAGGCCTCCATCATCTGGCCCCAGGCTTATCTCTTCTACCTCATCTCCCACCAGCTTGCCCTCCCACTCTTTACTCCAGGCAATTGGTTCCCTTGAATACATCACAGTTTCTCAGCTTCCAGCCTTCCCACGGGTTATTCCCTCTACCTTCACAGCTCAGACCACAGATTTTCCTTGTCCAGATCACTCAGGGCTCTGAGCACCAACTCGATGACACACTGAATAGATTGTGGCCCTGTGCACACTTATATCAACATCCCTAGCACACTCTGTTGGAACTGTACATTTATTTCTCTCACTCCCCAAATGGCAACTTAAGGGCTAGCTCTGTATAATACTTACCGTTGTTTCTACAAAGTCAGGCACAGTACCCCTGGAATACAATCATAATAAAGATAGCTAACACATATTGAGTGCTTATTGCATACCGGGAGCTATTCAAAGCACTTAGCATGGTTTTACTAACTCAATTATTCTGCAAAACAACCATAAAAGTAGATAACATTTTCATCTCCATTTTACAGATGAGAAAATGGAGGCTCATTAGAAAATACACCTTGATAGATAGGCTGATTTCAAAACCTACACTCTTAATCCATCATACTAATAGCTAATAAATTTTTTCTTGAATGAATAAAAAACAAAATGAGATTGCATCTCAGTGGGAACATCTATATGTACCAGGGCTTCTTACCTTAGGGATCAGGTTGAAAGAGAATGAGAATCATTGGACTTCTTCAGAATCTGGTTCTCCAGAGAAACAGACTCAATAGGATGTATGTATAGGGAAAGAGAGATTTATTTTAAGGAATTGGTTCATGCAATTATGGGAGCCGGCAAATCCAAATTGTATAGGTGGGGCCAGCAAACTAGGGACCCAGGGAAGAGTTGACGTTGTAGTCTTGAGTCTGAAGGTAGACTGGAGGCAGGATTTCCTCCTCCTCAGGGAACTCAGTCTTTTCTCTGAAAGCCTTCAACTGATTGGATAAGACCCACCTACACTATGGAGGATAATCTGCTTTACTCAAAGTCTACTGATTTCAATGTTAATCATCTAAAAAATACCTTCGCAGCAACATCTAGTCTAGTGTCTGACCAAACAATTGGGTATCACAGCCTAGCCAACTTGACATGTAAAATTAACCATAAGCCTTGAAGATGGACAAATCTGGGGCAAATAAGCAGTGGTATATTCTACAGCAATCACTCCCTCTCCTGCCTCAATAGTAATAATGGTCTATACCACCCATTTGAGACATATAAAGCTACTTGCTTTATTGTTCATCTTTGATTTCCATTTGTCTTGTCTTCCCAACTAGACCAAACACTTTTGGCAGGGAGCAAATCTTCTAATTCTTTGTATCCCCACAATGCCTTATCCAGAGAAAAGCACATGGTGGGCACTCGCAATGTGTTAAATTAATAAAACTAGTTTAGGAATGATGATAAAGATAAATAAACTGAGAAATTCCTTGGGCTAGATAGATCAATAGTGTTAACCTCAATGCTCTAGGTGAACACAGTTTGACCAACTGCCAGAGAATGCTTGTTTTAAACCTAAAAGTAAACATCTCCATTTTCTGCCCTCTCAAGAATAAATTCCTACCTCACTATAACTGCTGAAGACTTTAAATATTGCCAAAAGGATGGTTCTATCTAGAGGATCTGAGAGTAGAAGCTATATAGGATGGGGCGGAGAACTCCAAAGTGGCTTGGAGCCCCCTGTTTATCAACAGAAAGGAAGAGTTATGGAGATATTACAAAGAATTATAGTACAGAGAATATAGGGTCTCTAACCGTAGAACTTTCTAGGCAGAAGTAGCTTCCTTGGAATAAGAATATCTTTAGATATGCATAGTTTTTGATAGAACATTTGAGTTCAAGGAATAGCAAACATGAGCAGAATCATCCTTGTCAGGCCAAGTCTAAGACTCTGTCAAGCTTTTCCTGACCCTCCAGTCATATTTAGTGATTCCCTCCCACTGTGCTTTCTGTCCATTTGCATTTTATATGCACCATCTTCACGCTGTATTGTAATTATTTGTTTACTTGTCTGAATCCGTCACTAAACTATAAATTTCTAGAAAACAAAGACTGCCTTGTTCATCTTCATACCTCCTAACACCTTGAACAGTGACTGGCACATGCTTAGTATTTAACATTTATATGTGGAAGAAAGAAGGCTTGGAGGGAAGAGCAAAACAGGAGAAATACACACACACACACACAGGAGCATGTGCAGAACCAACTGAGGGAAGCAGTGGGGTAAAGCAAAGGGCATTGGAAATCCAGGACCTAGTCTGACTCTCCCATGACAATAAAAGTGGGCAGGGCACTTGAACTTCCTGGGCCTGCATTTCATCATCTAGGAGACAAGCAATTTAGATTGTATGAGCATTCAAGAAGGAAAATGCATAGTTAGGAGTTGGGGCTCTTTTAATATGCCTACACAAAAAGTAAAGCTAAAACTGCAGCAAAGATTTGAGTATTTCAAAGGAAGGAAGGAGGGAGAAAAGAAAAAAGTGTTCAGGAGCCAAGGCTGGCTACCTGATGTGCATAGAATCCAATACCACGGCACCAGATTTGAGAAAAGAAAAGAGCTTTATTGCAAGGTCGACTGGTAAAGAGACAAGAGGCAAAGCAAGCTGTCAAATCTGTCTCTTCAATCCAAGGTTCAGGGTGAAATTTAGGGAGTTGGGGCCACTAAGCTGCAGCTGGACTCGTATAAGCTGATTGGCTACTCTCGAATCAGTCCACATATGGTAATCAAGCGTGGCAACATTTCTGAAGATTCTTGGTTCCAGGGTCCTCCTGGGGCCCTGGGTTCCAGCCTGGTACATGCACCGTGTTGTCTCTGTTATTGAGCAAGCTTTAATTAATCAACAACCTATTTTAAGGAAGCAAAACTAGTTTAAGCTGGTCAATGTTTTATGTGCTGTTTCAGAAGGAAGGAAGGAAGAAAAGTTACAGTGACATTACCCAAACTCTCAAGTTGGTTGAAACTTGGTTAAAAAGAATGTATGGTGTGAGATGATTTGTTCTTGATCGTTTCTTGAGGTAACTAATTCTAGCCTAATTTTGAATGCCTGAATGAAAAATAGTATAACTAAATTTATAAAATACTAAGTATAACAAAGTAGAAAATCTGAGGAACAGGAGATTACAATTATGAGAATTCATAAGTAACTATACTTCCAAGAAAAAATAAAGTCAATACTGCTTGCACTATTCCAGTGCACTAAAAAAAAGTGGGTGGGGGGAATTCTAAACTACTTTTTGAAGCTAGCATAACAGTGATAACAAAGCCAAACAAAGATGTCATTATAAAATTTCACACCAACCTCACTTTTAGTGTCAATTCAAAAACCTAAATATAATAGCAAACAAAATCAGGCAACTCATAAGTAAATAACACACCATAAGTAAGTTGGGGTTTATTCCAGGAATGCAAGGATATTTCACTATCAGGAAATTTAACATATCATTCACCATATCTAGGAATGAAAAGAGAAAATAGTCACATGATATTTCCATGGATGATGAAAAGATATTTGATATTTAATAAGATCTCTTACTAGATAGATACTTTCTTTAATTTAATTCAACTAAGCAAATATTTACTGAACATTTACTGTGTGTCAGGCTTAGTTCTAGGCACTTGGGATATGGCAGTGAATAAAATAGGCAAAAATCTCTGCCCTTTTGAGGCTTACATTTTAATGGTAGAGATCCCTGACTCACACCTTAAGCTAAAATAAAGTCCAGATTGATCAAAGAGGGAGGAGGCTAAGTGGTTAAAGACAGTAGTAGACAGGATGCCAAATTTTCACTTTAAACCCTTCATGCCTTTTAAATTTTGTAGTGTATGTATTGCATATTTAAAATTAACTAGCCAGGGGCTGGCCCCGTGGCCGAATGGTTAAGTTCGCGCGCTCCGCTGCAGGCGGCCCAGTGTTTCGTTGGTTCAAATCCTGGGCGCGGACATGACGCTGCTCGTCAAGCCACGCTGAGGCGACGTCCCGCATGCCACAACTAGAAGGACCCACAACGAAGAATATACAACTATGTACCGGGGGGCTTTGAGGAGAAAAAGGAAAAATAAAATCTTTAAAAAAAAAAATTAATTAGCCATATTTGAAATGTACTCAGGTTCTTACGTAAGAGATATAGTATAGTAGAAAGACCACAGAATCTGGTGGTGTTTTCAGTTCTGAGTTTGTACTAATTAACTTGTAACCTTGGACAAGTCATTTCATCCTCACTCCATCTCTAAAGTGTTAGTACTAGACTAGATCAGATGGATTCCAGCCTCTTTTAACTCTAAAATCCTACAACACTAGAAGTTTAAGCTTAAAAATGGACCGAAGAGTACTTTTATCTGCCATAACTAGTTTTGACAGTTCTTCTAATAACAGCAGATGTTTTATTGTGGAATTTAGCATCCAACGTTATTCAGTGTCCACCGCATTCACACCACTACAATTGAATGAAGACAGAATGCAAAGTGCACATTAGGGCTCAGCCGGGAGTTTCTGGGCTGTTAGTCATGGAGGTAGTTGGTCCTCCCACATACCAGACAAATAGATAAATAAAGGATCACCACACAGGGTTGGATGCCTGGGATAATGAGGCCTGTGACTCATACCAGAGGGCAGCAAAAGAACTCTACCGTCCACAGCCAATCAGTCGTCTGTAATTCACAGGCCAATTGTCTGGTTTGGGGCTTATTTGGATCTTAGATCTTCTCTGTGCCGTGCTGATGGCTTTTGGCCATCCTCTAAAACATCTCTCTCCTCCCTCCAAAAAAGGAAGAAGACAAAACATAAGTTAGTTTGACTACTTGTTAACAACTTTACTAAATAATAATGATTATTAGCTATCTTAGCCAATAGGTAAATCATTGTGTTTCAAGGAATTTAAATCTGAAAGGCATCTTAGCCATCATCTAGTCTAAACCACACATTTTACACGTGAGGAAAAGGAGGCTTAGAGAGTGTCAAAATGATTTGCTTAAGATACACAGCCAATTCCTGCCAAGTTCAAGATAAAAACTCACGTGTCTAGGCTCTTGGTCTGAACTTGTTTCTACCTGTTGTCTTTTGTCCTTAAATTATCCAAACGGTGCTATCACTTACTGCCTGCCAAAAGTGTTTTACTTCTAATAGTGTCTTGGCTTTATCTGCTCCGTGTAGAACCTGATATTCTTTAGACCCATGACCTTAGGAGCAGAGCTTCAGAGCAGGACACTGAGGGAGGAGATTAAACCGAACATTGAAATTCCAGTTTAGATCTGCCCTTGAGAAACTATTTCTTACCCAACCCTCCCTGCCATGTCATCAGTCTCCAATGACTTCCCCAGGAAAAGTCGTTATCTAACTTTTTTTTTTTAACCTTCTTTCCTTTCTTTTCCACTTCCATTTCCAGCCAAAAGGATTCTTGGAGCTCATAAGCTTCTCTCAGACACATGCCCAACCTAATTCTACCCAGGAAACAGCTGTCAGCAAATTTCCTTGGGGGTTTGTATTTCCCTCTAACTTAAGTAGGTCATTGCTCTAAAGGAAGTGTAAAGATGGAATGAATGAAAATAAGCTGCTGGATTCTGCTTGTGTGAGATCTGTGAAAAACACAGGGAAATGGGCAGAGCGGTAGGGCTGGGCCAACAAAGGAAGTCCCCCTATGACCGTTCCCATGACTCAGAACTTACAGAATTACCAGTCAGACAGGCAGAGTGAGCATTCAAGGGGCCTTAATCATAGAGATGTACAGTCACTGTCTTACATGTGTCTATGTAGATTTCTTCTCAAAGAGAGAATGGTTCAACAGAGGAAAAGAAATAAGCTACCCGGGAGGATGCCATTTTGCAAGTTGAAAAGAGGTGCTTGGGCTGAAGAGATGGAGATGTGTGACCTGAAATGCAGAGGTCCTATTAACACAGTTGACTTCCTTCCAACAAAAATCAAATGATCTGTTTGTCGCCCCAACCAAGCTATCCCATCTCCCTTTGAAGAGTCCATTCAGGTAAGCAGAAGCCTACTGTCCACAAAGCAAACATCTCCAGTTGGATGCAAGGTCTTGAGTAAAACACCTTGTGGGATTAGGCTGGGAGAAACCAGAGTAAAATGACAAGGATGACCTTGCTGGGGAGAAGGGGAGGAGAGTCACGAAAAGGAGACATGGACATTGCAGGAAAGGGGAAGTTTCTGGGAGGGAGAAGCCCTGGTTTGTTCTTATACGTGATTGCCAGGAGACTTTTGGCACAGCTAGCTCTCACCTTCTCTCAAAACCACCTAGAAGCCTGCTTCCTGCCAAGTGCAGCAAAGTCTACTCCACCACTACTAGCACATACCCTACCCCACAACCAAAGAAAATCTAGTTTGCCGTTGCTAAGACATGGCTACTGTACCTGCCAGGCTGTAGGCATCTTAACTTCCAGGAGATAGAAACATGCTGGAACCTCATTAAACTTATAGGTTTTATCATTGTTGCCCCTCAAACTTGGAGTCTTAAGACATGGAGTGATGCAGACTAGAAATGTGTTAACCCTCAAAGTGAGGTGCTCCCTAAGGCTCCTCTGAGCTGGTGGATTATACATGCTTTTCCATTCATTCACTCAAGTATTAAATATTGGTGAAGCATCTGCTAAGAAGCATCAGGCAGTGTGAAAAGGGATACGAGGGTGAGAAATCTGCCCTCTTGAACCTTATGCTCTAGTCTGGGGAAATACTTTCCAAGAAAAATAACCGTGTGAGCCACAAATATAATTCTAAATTCTGTAGTAGCTTCATTTAAAAAAGGTAAAAAGAAACAGGTGGAATTGATTCTAATAATGTATTTTATTTAACTCAAAGATTCAAAATATTATCATTTCAACATCTAATCAAGATTTCCAAATTATTAATGACATATTTTACATTCTCTTTTGTGCTAAGTCTTTGGAATCCAGTGTATATTTTACACTTACAGCCCATCTCTATTCAGGCACTAAACTTTCATCAGAAATATTTTATCTGTATTTAGATTTCATAAATTTTAGTTGATAAAGTAGATTCACATGCCCAGGTTGTTTCAAACACACTTAAAAATTTTCTGATAACTTTATTATTAGTTCTTAAATTTAAATTAATTACAATTAAAATTTAAAGTTCAGTTAGTGAGTTAAGCTAGCCACATTTCAAATGCTCAACAGCCACCTGTGGCTAGTGGCTACTGTATAGAATAATTCAGCTCTAGAAGGAAAGATAAACAATAATTAAATTAGCACAAAAACAACAATAAAACTATACTTGTGATAAGTGTTATGGAGTGTAGATACATAGCATTATGAGGTTGTGTAACACCTTACTTTGTTCGGGGGAAGGAAAGACTTACTTGAGAAAGCGTTGTTTAAGAATCTGAAGATTAATACAGGAAGAGAGCACAGACGGGAAGAAGGGTTTTCCTGGCAAAGGCAGCTGCATGTACCAAGGCCCTGAGGCAGAAGGGAAAATAACGAGGTCTGTATTACTCAGCATCCTGTGGGGAAACGGCCCTTTGGAACTGGGAAATTTAAGGAACATTTAATAAAGAGACTATTTAACAAGATGAGGTCACAGTGTAGGGAAAATAGCATAGAATAGTGCAGTACCCTAGGCTACAATAGCAGAGAGCTGTTAACCAATACCACCAACACTACACCATCACCCCAGCTTAATGGGGCAAGGGAATAAAGCAGTTATTAGAACCTAGAACATGTAGCTGTATGGTAGGGCCATCTGACAGGAGCTGTGGCCTTCAGTCAAGGGGGTGCAGCCAGCCCACAGAGATCCAGCAGGGTGGTAACAGAGGAAATAAATAGCCCAACTTCACTTTCTTTCTGCCCTCCAATCTCCTGTGTGTAACTGCCATTGGCCAAGCCCAACCAGGACCAGAAGGTAAGAGAGCTCCATGATGCTCACAAGTCAGCCTCAGGGCACAGAGCAACATAAAGAAGAGTGGAGAATAAATCTGGAAGGACAAACTGAGGACATTCAGCTTGCAGGTGTGTGTATTAGTTTGCTGTTGATGCTATAACAAATTATCACAAATTTAGTGGCTTAAAACAAATTTATTATCTTACACTTCAGATGTCAGTAGGGCTGTATTCCTTCTGGAAGCTCTAGGGCAAGGTCCGTTTCCTTGCCTTTTCCAGCTACTAAAGGCTGCCTGCATTCCTTGACTCAGTCCCCTTCTCACATCGCTCTGACCTCTGCTTCCATCATCACATCTCTTTCTCTGCCTTTGACTCTCCTGCTTTGCTCTTATAAGGACCCTTGTGATTATACTGGGACTATCTGGATAATCTCCTCATCTCAAGATCCTTAACTTAATCACATCTACAGAGTCCTTTTCGCCATGGAAGGTAAGATTCAGAGGTTTTGGTGATTAGAATGTGGACATCTTTGGGTGGCCATTATTCTATCTACCACAGTGTGTCAAGAAGGTAAAAGAAGGCCACTGTGGTAGAACGCAAAGGGCAGGAGGGAAGTATGGAGAGTTAGGGTGATTATAAGCTAGGAAGAAACCGTATTAGCAAGGTTTTGTAGACCATGGTAGGGATTTTGTTCTGTATGTTAAGACCAATAGAAAGCCATTGAATTTGCATCTTGAAAAAATGTACTATAACTACAAAATAAAAAATAGAAATGCATTGCAAATGAATTGAGAAATGATTGAAGATAATGGCTTGGACACAGAGATGGCTAAAAAGGGGGAGTGAAGTAGAAGGATTTGAGAGATATTGAGGCAGTAAAATTTGTCGGACTCGGTGACAGGTCAGCTATGCGGTGGGAAGGGAAGGTGAAAGCCATGTTAAACATGCTGCTTAGATTTCCAACTTGCTGAACTAGACAGATAGTCGATCAGTTCACCATAACAGAAAACACTGTGCTCAGAACACGTCTATTTGAGTGAGGGTCAGGGGATGTGGGTTTGAACATGTTGGTTTGAAGTGACTTTAAGACAACCAAGATGAAAAGTCAGTGAGCAGCTGGATAACGAAGTATAGAGTGCAGAGTTTCCTCTGGGTTGCAGAGGAAATTTCAAATTCTTGGTTTTTACGTGGTCATTAAAGCCTTGTATGTGAATGAAATCACCTAGAATAGAGGCCAGTTAGAAGAGTGCCTAGGATCTAGCCTTGAGAGGCTTGAACATTTAATGACCAGAGAAAGGAGACAGTGACCAGATAAAAGAGGCACCAGGAGACTGAGGCATCAGTCTAAAGCCTAGGAAATATATTATTAAAAGAGGATGTGAGGGGCCTGCCCGGTGGTGCAGCAGTTAAGTTCGCACGTTCTGCTTTTGCAGCCCGGGGTTTGCTGGTTCTGATCCCGGATGCAGACCTATGCACTGCTTGGCAAGCCATGCTGTGGTAGGCATCCCACATAAAATAGAGGAAGATGGGCACAGATGTTAGCTCAAGGCCAGTCTTCCTCAGCAAAAAGAGGAGGATTGGTGGCAGATGTTAGCTCAGGACTAATCACTCTCAAAAAAAAAGCAGGATGTGGTCAACAAGGTTGATTGCTCCTGAGATTTCAGTAAGTTGATTTCTAAAAGATCAAGTCCAATTCACTCACAGTATCAGTCTATGATATTCTGGTGGAGCTGCTTACATCCTTGAGGCCAGGGGGTACCTTCCTTGCCTCCTCACCAGTTTTAAGTAAATCATGGCCGTGGTGATTGGTTTAGGGGTGGGGGCACATAACCAATGAGATCTATTGGCTTGGACTTCCAGGAAAGAGAACATCACTCTTTCCCACTGTCTTGAAACTTGAGGAGATAGAGCGCCTGGCGCTGTTGCTACCGTCTTCTACTACATAAAGCCCAGGACTAAAGGCAACACTTGGCAGAAGAAAAAGATGGAGAGAAACCAGATATTTATGACATCTTTTTACCGCTAACTCCAGCTGTGCCTGAAGGTTGATCTAGCCCTACACTTTTGACTTAGATGAGTCAGTAAATTCCCTTTTTGCACAAGCCAAGTAAATGTCACTTACAATGGAAAGAATACTAAATTCTATGGGAGGATAAATGAAATGGAACTTATGTCTAAGATCTTTAAAAGAAAAATGTCTTATATATCAAGATGATCAGGATGTTAACCAAAATTCTCATTATAATGGTAATAAAGCCATGAAAACAGACAAGAGAGAAATCTTGAGAGCAGGAAAACAAAATATATGGAAATACCAGAAGAGTTTCTATGTTCATGTACTCCAATTTAAGGTGAAACACTCAAAAATAAATAGGAGCATACGTAAAGAGAATTAAAAATTATAATTCCAGACTCCTTTATTGTGACCAGAAATCTGTTTCCAAGGTTTTCTTCTTCTCCTTTGTCTTGAGCTTGTATCTTTCATGAGCCCTGAAATGGCAATTTCACAGATGCGTGAATTATAATATTCATGATTTCCATGGCCTTGTAATTGCAATTATACTGAGTAATTATAATTTTCATTGACACAAAAGTTACAGACTCCTGGAACTTGTTCAGCAGAACTTAAGACTGTTGCTAGGCACCTCAGGAAAGTGATTATCCCCTTTGTGGCAACTAAGGAATTTGACCTCGAATAACTTTTACATTTGGAAGTTAAAATTGACTGGCCTTGTCTTCTCTGAACCCATTTATTAAAAACTCACCAAAATGTGTAGCTGCAGTGACTCAAGAGATCCATCCAGTAGAAGAAAATCCACAAACACCTACTGAGTACCCACCATCTACAAAACAATGTGCAAGGCACACTCAGAGCCTTGAGGCTTGGTCCTTGTCCTCGCTGAGCTTGGAAACTTGTAGGACTTACTCATGAAGAGTCAAATATCCATAAAAAGCAATGTGTAATAAGTGATCAAAAGAGTTGTGCCACAATAAGAACTTTAGAGGCTGGAAGAGCAAGAAATCAGTGTGGGTTGGAATGCCTTGAGGGTTGATACAAGTGAATGGGCAGCAAAGAACTGAAGAGCTCTGCAGGCAGAAAGATCTGTGTAAACAAACAACCAGAAGGCGAAAGATGTTTGTAGGCAGCTGTATTATAGAATGGTCTGGCTGAAGCAACAATTCTTATGGAGTTGGGGGTGGAGGCTTGTAAAGATAGGGAAAGCATTAAATGGCAACCTACAAAATTTAAGCTTCATCTTGCACAAAATGAAGTATTGAAGACTGTGTTGAAGATTAAGTCAATGGAAACAGACAGCCTCTGTTTTTCAACATCAAAGCTGTCATAGCTACGGACACAAGAGCCTAGACTTGGTTTGTGTTTGAAATAAGCAGTTTTTTGTTGATCAACACAGTGTAAAATGAAAAGTGAGAATTGGAGAAGGTAGGACTGGGTCGTGGGAAGCTTAGGCATTATATTGATAAAGCTGGGTTTCCATTTCTGATACCTTCCTGTAGCTGCTATGTGGAGGATGGATTTTACAGCATGGATCTGGATTCAAGCGATATTTAGGGGCAACATCATGAGGACTTGGTGATTATCATTGACTATCAGGGGTGATGGGCAGGAAGGAGTCCAGAATGACACAGCTTTCTGACCTCAGGAGACAAGATGGTGAGTAGAACCATTAACCAGGATACAAGAGGTTTCCTACAGAGGTGCAGGTTTAGGAAAGGAGGGTTCAGTGTTGAACATTGGGTAAATCAGGACTCTGGCTGCAAGTCTTGGAAATCCATGTCAAACTACCTTAGGCGACTTCATAGATCCACAAAACCTGAAGATGGAAAGGTAGGGTAGCAAAGACCTCATGACTAGATTCTAAACTCATTAGAACCTGCTGTCTGTCCTGGCCTGTCCCTCTTTCCATCGTCATTGCTTTCCCTCTCCACTTGGCTTCTACCTATAGTTTGGGCTCATTCTCTCAAGGCCCTCCAAGTGGCAAGGGATATGTCTGCCAACAGTTCTGGAAACTAAGAAGAAAGAGGGCTACACCTTCCACTGTCACTTTGAAAAATTCCAGGAAAGAGGTCTCAGAGAAATTTTTTTCAAAAAATGAATGAGATAGTCTAAGTCACTGCTCTTGAGGAATTACAAACACAAAAGCACAGAAACTTGAAGCCATTGCCAGTACCTCCAGAGGGCTGACATGATCCTAGCACAAAATAGGAACTCAATAGACGTTCTTTATTCAAAGGATGATGAATGGGCACTCTTCATGAGTTAGATCATTTGACATTTATGAAGTACTTTGGTTGAATACATTTTTGTCTACTATATAGACTAGAGCAAGGCAGTCCTCTGTCCCAACACTCAGCTCAAGTGCTAAACCTAACATGTAAGCTGAATAGTTTTGATAGAAGGACCAATTTCTGTAGTCATACTCCACTCCAAGAGCCTGGAAGAGCTCCTTCTGGCTACAGGAGTCAATAGCTAGAATATACATTACACCTCTCATCAAAAATGCCTTCCTACCCACCCCCACCACCACCACTGCCACCGTCATCACTATCGAGACCTTGCCAGCAACTGTCCCTCCTCACTATTACCCACCACACGCTTTGTTAGGAGAGAAGGCTTAGAGGCCTACCAGACCTCTTTTAAAGACCATAAAATCAAATTTAAACTATCACAGGAAAGCCTGGTTTCTTTTCATAATTCTATTGAGTTCCTCTGAAGGCAAAGACCGGACAGGCACACTCAACAGTTATAACAACCAACAAAGGCTAAAGTCAGCTTCCAAACCTACACAGGGTGTCTTCAATGTTGCAGCATATGATACCTTTTGCCTCTTGTCTGAACCTCGATATATTTATTTAGTTTCATTCTATTTAGTTTTATTTGTTTAGGCTGTCAGTAACACTTATTAAGGGCTACTTTATGCATGACACTGTATACCATGGGATATATAAAAGAAGCCAAGTGTCCCCAGGGCACAATCGAAAGAGTGACAAGAACAGCAATTATTTGATAAACCTAGATCAGACCCCACCATCTTAATCTCTGGATCCCAGTATCCTTGAACCTCTTCCTTCCGATCCTATAAGACCTCATACAGATTCATAAATTCATAAGACATCATAAATTCATGATCATTTTTCCTCCTACTTTATGATGGCTTCCATTTCTTTCATCATTTGATAAGGGTTTCCACTTTCCCTGTTGGCTGCTGTCACGCCTCCTGTCATCACCAGGTTGGTGTGGCCTTGGCTATAACTACAAATTTGTTTTGTTCCAATTGAACAGCGGAATGCCACACACACATATCTGTGATGGACTCTGTTTCTATGCCACAAGAAAACTCTACCCCTAGCCTCCATTTCTTAGAGAATTCTAAAGATTCTGTTCTTTGCTCCACTTGCTTTTTATTACAACCTTCCTGCCAATGACTCTGGCACAAGTCTATAGAAACGAACTTAACAATATAACACTATTAAAGTCTCTGGGGCTGGGCCAAAAGACCTTCTGGAAACCTTCACTCCTACCTTCCCTGAGCTTCCTGCCCTTCCTGCCCCAGTCATGGTCCTTGCATCAAGGTCATGTGCACCCTCTCCCACCTAAGGTCTGTTATTTCCCTTTTAGGTACTCACTCTAAGGGGGTTCCTGGTTTCCCCAACAGCTCAGAAGTCTTGGTCCTGGAGTAGAGGTGGAGTGGGCTGGTCCCTCAAAGGGGCCCACACCTGTCTGAATTCACAGCAAACAATTGAGTCATAAGGCCCCAGGGCTCCCTCTCCACAAAGACAATTTATGGTCAACTGTTTGGAACTCAAAGCCACATTTCTGAGGAAACAACCTTAAAAGGAGTAGGTATGTGTCCAGGAGAACTCATAAAAGTCCGTTTGGCTCACATACCTCATCTGGAATTCTAAATGCACTCTAGAACCTATCTAACAGTACACCATAGTTTCTATGGAGAAATGAGTTCTGAGTTCCAGCAGTGAACACACCTCAGCCTCTGCCGTCAGCAGCCATAGCCCGGCTTTCACCTTCCGCATCCTGCCAGCCAACGCAATGGTAGGGAAACACCAGGAACCTAGAGAGTTTTGTTTTTACTAAACGAGTGGGAGAGCAGGACCAGTGTGACTCTGGGAGGTAAACCCAGGCTGCATATGGAGGAGAGTTCAGAGGGGCTAGGGATGGAAAAGCCTACCTTCCCTGGGTTTTAGGGTCTTCCAGAAACTCAGGCTGCTTCCCTGAGCTTCAACCCAAGAGACAGGCCTGGTCTACACTACAGCACTGCTGCTGCAGAGAGCAACAGAGTTGGGTTCTAGTGGAAGAAAAGGTAGGAACTAAGGAAAACTTGTCTGTGGGTTTCTGTGTGAGGTCAAAGAAGGAGCTTTAAAAAAACAGCTTTTAAAAACTAAAGCTAGATCAGTACTATGATCAGTAATGTGTTTGCTAATGAGGTCAAATCAAATTCACTACACTATATCATGGCCTCTGAAATATGCAGCTCACAGAAGTATGTAGTGTTTGTCAGTCCCATTGGACATGGCCCTTTTGTGGACTTGAGACAACACTTGACCTTTGTTTATGTCCAATCTCTCTCTCTTATTTGCGCTTTAATTAATACTTGGCTCGTGTGGAGTCAGGGTAAATTTACTTAGAAATAAAAGAATTTAAGGATGGAGAAAACAGGTATGCACCTCTATTTTATTTCCTTGGATCTATTCAGAAAGGTGAAGAAAAAATACTTTCCTAGATGGAAGAGTAGGGGAAGGGGTAAAAGAGTTTTCTATATTTTTAATAACTCTTGTTTGGAGGCTCCGAAATTAACTTTTAAATGACAATAGTAAAATGAAAGTAATAGTAACATGAATAGGAATATGGAAGTTTCTTTTCACTGCAAATACAAATGGATTTAAATAAGGATTGTTTTCTCTTATAAGTCTACTCTCTCATTCTACATTTTAGATACTCTGTCAAATTACTTTCACATGACCACATACTAGAGGTGAAAAGGGAGAAAAGATGATTTAGAGAGTTTACCATATTCAGAAAAGGAATTGGTAGGCTGTTTTAAGTGCCAGAGTTCTAGTAGCTCTGGTAAGGAATTAACAGGTTAAATAGTTCCATGATAACTACTCAGATTCAATCAATTCAACAATACTTCCTGAGACTATTATGTGTTAAACAATGTCGTATGTGACATGGGGATATACACACAAAAGTACGCTGCCTGGTTCCCCCACTTGTGGAGTTTATAAGTTGTTATTCGATTTACATGTATGAAAAAGTAGAGAACTCTGTTTAACATGTAATCAGCTCCCCAACCAAGTGCCTCTTGCTATCTGAAATGAGAGAAGGTATGGGAACCAAGGTGATCTCCAGGAAACAGTTACAATATGAATAGACTGAAAGATCTCTCTGGATGTTGGAAATTAACAAAAGCCCAAGTAGGGTTAAGCTTAGCCCTTAGAAGAGACAGTGAAGAAAGTGGCCTGGTTGAAGCTGGTAGGGGTTGTTTTGGAACAACTGGCGAGCGATGAAAGAGTCTAGAGAGCAGAACGTGTTTGGGGACGATGGTCCTGTCGGTGTGGAGGTTGGTATGAGGAAAATACATCAATTATGAGGTCACTGCAGTTTCTAAGTGGGAGGTAGAAGGGTAGGCACCAGAACGATGGCATGAAAATGAAAAGAGGGAGAGACACAAAAGGCATTTCAACAGAAATACCGATATAACATGGGGCTCAGACTAAGTAGAAGATTCATTTCCCTTTTAAAATCTTGATCTTGGTTCTTCTCTTTTCTCTTGAGCCATTTCCTCTCCACCTTTCTTTTTTATGTCTTATTATTACTATAAAAGTGTACATGTTTTATTTTGGAAAATTTGAAAAATACAGAAAAAAATCTAAGGAAGACGTTAAAAAATACCTATACTCTCACCACTCAGAGATGATTTCAGATAAGGTTTTGATATATTTTTTCCCAACCTTGATCAATGCATTTAGGAGTGATTATTATGCAGGATGGGCTGGGTGGAGTACAAAGATGAAGCAGCTTGATTCTTTTTTCCCCGCCACTGCCTTCAAGTTTGTTTCATCAGGTCTCCATTTTCTGTCCTTGGCCATGATCCAGGCAGAGTCCATAGCTTTCCTGTCACTTTCAGATATTTGGAAGGATTTCATGTACAGGAATTACAAAGTCTAATTCAATCTAGATCAAGTCAATGTTTCTCTCTTCCTTGAGCCCAGGCCTCTCTGTAGCTCAGGAATTTGGAGCAGAGAAGGAGGCAATGGTCTGGTCTTTCGTTCTTCTCACCCTACCCCACTCACACCATGGGATCATTCACACATCTTTATTCCAGAGGTGAAAGTGAGGCCTATTCCCACTACTCCCCTCTCTTTCTTCACCCCATGGTTGTGGACTATTCCAGTCAAATTCCCACCTTTGGATCCCTCCAGGGCAGCAGCAGTCTCCAGGGTCTTTGCCAAAAAAGCACACTCTTCCCCCATAAATTCACTTCAATTAATCCTTTCTAAGAAATCTCTTATAGAGACTGTTTCTGGTGGTAACAATGATTACTAGGCTTCTTTTCTTTTCTTTTTTTTCAATTTATAATAAATACTGTGAGACTGTGTCTTAATCCCTTTCTTGAGAATGTAAGGATACTTGTTATCAATTATGCTCGGCTTTGGGCTTTGGCCAAAGTTCAAGATAGTAGAAAAAGTCCCATTTTGCATTCTAATACATATATACAGACACATATGCGAATAAAATAACAATAATTGGGACCATATCACATCATTTTACATCCAACTTGTTTTCCCTTCTTATGTTTAGTGAGCACTTCCCATGTCAACGAAGCATTTTCCAAAAATGTGATTTTTATTGGCTCATAATTTTTCATCACATTGACTGTCCATTCGTCATTATTTACTCAGCCATCACCCAATTAGACATTTACAATTTAGCTAATATAAATAACACTACAATAAATGTCCTAGTATGTGAATCTCTATGCACATCTTTGGTTATATCCTTAGGGTAATTCCTAGAAGGGGAATGTTTCGATCAAAGCTTATGAATATTTTTAAGGTTCTTGAGACATAAAGCAGAGAAACGCCCTCAAGAAAAGTGGAATAACCCCCCTACACACACGTACATTGTACCCAAGCATTATTACCATATTTTTCACCTATGCCATTTATTAGGGAAATATTGTACCTTGCTGTTTTGATTTATATTTCTTTGATTGTTATTGAGGCAGATTCTTATTTATTGACTCTTTGTATTTCTTCTGCTGTAGATGGTCTGCTCATGGCCTGTGCTCACTTTTTTCTTGGAATGTTAATATTTTCTTATTGACATATAAACTCTCTCCACATGATAAGAATAGTTACCCTTTTTGTCATATTGTATTTGTTGCAAATGTTTCCCAATTTGTTTGACTTGATTTTGTTTATAATATTTTGGCTTGCAAAAACTTAACGTTTGCGCAGTAGCATCTCTGTTATATAATTTAGCTTAAACAGAAAGGAATTTATTAAAGGGATAGAAATTAGCTCAAAGAAATTCAAAAAGAGATCCTGCAGAAATCAGGGCAACTCCGTGGATCATAGAAAATGAAACTGGGGCCAGCCCAGTGGCACAGCGGTTAAGTGCTCACATTCCGCTTCGGAGGCCCGGGGTTTGCCTGTTCGGATCCCAGGTGAGGACATACGCACCACTTGGCAAGCCATGCTGTGGTAGGAGTCCCACATATTTAAAAAAAAAAAAATTGAGGAAGATGGGCACAGATGTTAGCTCAGGGCCAGTCTTCCTCAGCAAAAAGAGGAGGATTGGCAGCAGATGTCAGCTCAGGGCTAATCTTCCTCAAAAAAAAAAGAAAGAAAAAGAAAAAAAAAGAAAATGAAACTAACCTCAACATCCCCAAACCTCTAAATCTGTCCTTCTGCTTCTCTAATCTCCCATGGTCTCCATTTGGCTTCATATATTCCTACCATCAGCTTTCTCCAGATTGACATCCTTCTAGTTTCTATACATAGAGGCCAAGATGATTTATCTTTAGTTAGAATAATCCTGGGCAAGGACTCTGGCCCACCCTTATGACATGCTCACCTCCAGAACAATCATCGTGCTAAGAAAATAAAGGACTCTGATTTGCCAGATAAAATAAATGTCATTAAGAAAATAAGAGAGGAGCTAACCCAAAGAAAAGAGTAACTTAGGACGCTGGGCGGCGGACAAAGCAAAACGAAACAGAAACAGCAAACAAATGTCCATTAGAGGTTTTCTTTAGTAATTTCTTCTGCTACTTTGATGCTTCTTTCTTCAAACTGAAATCAATACATCATTCTTCTGGATTTCGTTTTTTACATTTGGCTCTACCTTCAGTAAATCCCTTCATTCCTCCCTCCTGATATTCTCTTTGTCATTTCTACTGGCTTGGTCATAGCCAGGATGGCTGGTTCAAGGCCCTGTGTCTCTGTGTGTGGTCTGACGAGCTCATTTTCCTGGCTTCTCTCACCTCCAGCACACCTGCTCCCCTTTCTCAGTTCATCCTACACATGATCACAGACTTAATGTTCCCAAAACACCACCAAACCATCCCTTTAAAAATGTCATTTTCCTCTTCACAAGCCCTTATTGTAGTCTTCCTGCCCTGCCCGTTTACTAGGGAGATGACAGCTAATGTGACAATGAACATGCTGTCTCATGCAGCCCTCACAATTCTGCATGGTAGATATAATCTGCATTGGATAGAAGGGAAACTGAGGTTGAAAGAAGTTAAATCACCTGTTGTTCACACGTGGTAGAGCTGGGACTTAATCTCTACTCTGCCTGAATCCTTACCCCAGAAACCAACCTCCCCATAGTGGACAGGCCCCGGAGTAAAGTCTTAACAACTTAGCCTTTTTCAATTTCTGGGCTTTGCTTCCTTTCATTGACTTATATGTATCCCACACTTTAACCAAACTTGTCTCCTCGCCTCTCAATCTTACCGCCACTATTCCCAAGCCTGCAAGCTTCTCTTTTGCTTTTGATTCTCAGGATATTTCTCACCAAT